CCTGCAGCTGAATCCAATCATAATTTTTCCTCAATTTAGGTAAATTTCCTGTAGGTAAAAGTGTGCTAGAATACTTACTCTCCTTTTCGAGGCGTGAGAAATACCTTATATCATTATGATAAATAGTATTCCATCTTTTATTATCCCCATAAGCCTCTCTAACAAGATAACTCCCGAGTTTCCCCGCATTAGGACGCTTGTCAGGATCAGCACTGCTCAGCGAGGTTTTTATATGCCTCTGGTGCAGAATCTGTATCGATGGTAGTCCACCCATAATATCGCATACTAAATCTCTGTCACACTGCCTATCTCTAAATGGCTAGCAATTAAATACATGATAACGCGCCAAAAGAATATATGTTTGATTGCGAGTAAACTTGCACGTATGAAAGACTTCTGGTGCAATAAAGGGTAAAATGCCTCGAACGGTTGAATTCTGTTGACGTAAATTCACTGGTTGAGAAAGACCAAGATCGCATATGAAGACTTCTGCCTCATGCGCAACAATGTTTCCGCCATGAAGATCACGATGCGCTAGTCCCACATCGTGAATAATTTTTAGATTACATGCGATGTTCTTCAAATACCGTAATTTCATCCTCTACGTCAAGCTGTTAATATTTTGATGCAAATAAGACAAAAGACTACCTTTGTCAGCATATTGCATAACGATCATGTACTTTTTTGTCTGGGTCTTGTGCGGCTCCATAAAGTTGAAGAAAGCGACTGGCTATATTGTTTATGCACTTGGCATGATTTCTGAACTGTTGGTAGAAGCAAATACGGTATCAGGTTAAACATTCATAAATCGAATGGAAGGATACACAAATAAATTAATATTGCTTACCTCGTAAATAAATAATTCGGGCGTTTGATCAAATTTTTAAAGCGTTTGAGTGCAACACTTTGTTGCCTAATCACTTATTCCATATATAGACTGTTCCGTAACCACCAGATCCGATTTCCCGAATTTCATAAAATCAGCATACTTCAAATACTGTACACGATGGTTAAGCCGTATAAACCTGTCCAAAAAACTAAATAATGTTTCCGAGCTTGGGTAATTCCAATTATCCAGATATTCTCAGGCACTAATATCTCTGGGTATTCATTGATCAACTATGTGAATAAACAATGCAATCAATGCAATCAATGCAATCAATGCAATCAATGCAATGCATACTTAATACTGCTTGTTATTTTACACGTGAAATAAAATAATCTACCTGATTAAAATCGGTATGACCTATCTGCTTGAGTGTTACTTTTGTCCATTCATTTGTCGTCGGTTCTAACCAATTGCTATATGCGTGCATTCATAGCGTAATCAGGTCATTTCCCGTACGTCTGTCAATAGGGAATACTTTATACTGTATATTATATATAAGCATCATACTTATTCTTCACATTATTCCACGACTCCATGTGGTGTTGTTGCTTTACATTCATAACAAAACGCAGTTATCTTGAGTTCTAATTGACACGTACACGCCAGACATAAACCAATTTCATCTACATACATCTTTTATTAGACAATATTTTTGTTCACATGTATCATACGTAAAGTCGATAGTAACCCAAGCGTCCATAATAAGAATATCTGGGTGGCTATTGTTATCACATAACTAATGGAAATTATACCGAGTCAATTTTCATCTGAACAATAGATGGGACATAATGATACGTAGTTTATAGTCACCTCGTCATGTATGAATAATTTGTTTCATTTGTTATCTCAAGCGGAATTAAATTAATCTCTTCATAAGTAGGTAGTCCGTCAATCGTACTTCATATCTCCTAACATCAATGCAATCACGTGGAATCCATTCCAAATAGACATCATTTGGCGAGTTGTAATTGAGTTTTTTTAATAAACTCATCGAGCAGGTTATTTTTGCTAGTCCATCCGTCGGATAATCCCTGAACACCGCAGATGCACCACACGGGGCTACATCGGAGTATTTGACATTTAGAGCCGAATCCGTATTGAGAATAACAATAGTAGAACTTTCTATCGGCTACCATATAATAGTTGTCATTATATTCGGTAAACCTTTTTATGAGTTTGTTGCGACATTCAAGCCATTTTTTATATCTTCTGGTTGTTATTGTCACAATGGTATTTTGTGTCGAAAGCGAGTATATTCTAGCAAATGCCCTCACAAATGTGGGTGTACATTCTTCGCTACGTCCAACTAATTGCAACACTACCTTACTACTATCAAATGTTTCTTTGCGAGTAGTAATAGATTTTATCAATTTGACTAGACGTTATGTCTATAATTTGCTATTCAAGTCGATTTACACGCGAGGAAGTAACCGAGCCGTCAATTGCTGGATTATGAATATCGTTAATCTATAGTTTGAATAAAATTTTTTTTGCATCGGAGAGACCTTTTTTCAAAACTATTGTGTTACATGACACATTGCAAACGATAACAATTATTTGGTCCCTGCATAATGTTCATTCATATAGCTGCAGGGCTGATTGATTATCGAATCTATGATGATTTGCCATGTCGTACAACTCTCCTAGAATTGTAATGTTAAACTCACATTATAGAATACTTGCGGAAAGGGAAATGTGCTTTTTTAATACTATTAAAACTGAAATAGTGTCGCCTAGATTTATTGAGCATCCGTTAGAAAAAAAAATAAATTATGTAAAGAGAAGACAAAATTATAAATGAAAAGGTTTCGCAAAATTCATCGCGTAAAGTGCATGAAGATAATTTCCTTTATGACAAATACTGTACATTACTTAATGTAATTGTTTGAGAAACGGTTTAAATAATAAAAATTTGCCGATTCAAGTTGTGAAATTGCAGCGGTACTGGTATAGACCAATATTAAGATGGATATCTTTGGTGAATCGTGACTTGATAAAAATTCGCTCAAGTTAACCTGTAACGCCCACAAATAATAAAGAAGACAGGTTTATAGAGCATTACGGTGATTATTATTCTTGCTGTAAATTAAACTTATATTTTTAAACCATCTTACGGTTTGGAATTGTTGGGATAACAACTTACTATACCGTATCGTTTTGTTGATTCTACCATTAACAAAATTAAAAGTATTTATACGATTTATCCATTCTCTCCTTTAATTATTCTAAATTGGAAACTAAATTTGCAAACGTAAAAAAAAAGGACTGTGAAACCGTCCGACAAATTTATGGATCCCAAAGCAGTCAAGTTTCTTGTAGAAGAAATTGAACGAAACCGGGAACATTCTATGCCAACTTATATTGCGTAAGAATTGGAGTGAGTTATTTAGGTAATACATTAGTATTAGGTCTTCTTTAATAATATTTGCCCTCGTTCTATACAAAGTAACCGTGGAGGAATGACCAAGAAGCGCAAGACTAACCTTGTAGCCTATTATCCTGTATTAGTATATACTATTTAGCTCAGTAATTTATCTTTATCAATTGTCGTGCGCATCTCACTTACTCGTTATGGATTGATGAAAATTTTGGCAATATACAAGAAAGCTCAGAATTATTCTAAACAACGATGAAGTCTCGGAAAGCATTTAGAGACCTATTTTGTGGTCATATTTCCTACCTTATTCTGTAGTATATATACCTTCTCAGTTAACCATTAAACTTGTTTATCACCGCAACGCATTTGTAGAGCTTTTTTTTCAAGATTGCTTAATTAAAAGACGATAAGTGGCATTTGCACTAGTTTTTTTCTTGACCTCCGACAGTGTTTAAACGCGCAGCGTACGTCCTGTCGCAGCGATCCTAGTCTGATACATATTAAGTGTTACCGCTACGTCGCAGTACTCTTGATACGGAAACAAAGCGCTTGAGCATGTTTGTATGACCAAATGCCAAAAGTTTAGTCTGCCGTTCGAGTGGTACATATGGTTAAGAGTGACATCTGATATATGTTGGTGGTGATATCAAGGAGAAGATTGATATCGAAATTGATACACACGACAGACTTAAACAAAGGAAATCCGTTCTATTGCTAATACTGTAATAGAGAGGCTGTTATTAAAAATGGATATTCGCTGTATTATTATTAGCCTTGCGTTAAAGAATTGGCCAAGTATTACACCTTACGAGCTATTCGTAAAAATAATACAACAAATTAACAATGTATATTACACGTATAACACCTACAATTTTCCAATTGTCTAAAAATATAGTCAAATTTTATTCTTAGAGAATTACTTTATCACACTAATTTGTACCAATCGTCTTCAAAACATTCAATTCTTATGCCAATTTCCCCTTCTCTTCCAGATGCTCTTCGATAAATATGTTTACAATTTACTCGCGTTGCAACGTGAATTAAACTCGTATGTGATTGGCCAAGAGGATAAAGTCGAGAATAGCTCAAAAATAAGTTGCGAGACCGGTAGTGCAGACCATTTACCAGTTATACGTGAACCGTGAAATGCGCTCGAATTACGATAACTCTATTTGCATACCGCCCTCTTAACATGAATGACTACTAGTATTTGAAGCGCGCGCCTTAGTTTAGTTAACGTCTAACATTCTAATAACTCAAAAACTTTAAAGTATATATCATTGTTTACCGGTATGCACGCAGTAAGTAATTATAAACAAAAATACAATCGTAATTATTACAAAGCCAAGCCTTGGCTGTAGAGATCATTTTGTGTGGCAGTGATGCAGCTATATAAAAAGTAATTATAACAAAAGGAAAAGTAACATATGACAGCTAGTCACATTAAGAAAATTTGCAGCTGCATCCCACTTACTTGTCATCAAGTCGCTTTTTCGATGAAAGTGTTGTCGTTAATAGTTTTATACTTAGCATTCTATAATAGTCTTCGGGCATGCTTCGATTTACCTTTTCTCTTTTTGCATTTCTTATTAAGAGGCATGCGCATAGTGGCTAAGGTCTGGCTGTGTTCAAAGACCTATATCACGTGAAACAAACGAACATCAATTTGGAATAGCGCAACATAAAAAGTTCAAACCAGTCTTTTTGACAAGTATTCATGTACCGTAAAAAGATATGAGTGGCCTCTCTACTTCGTTAAATACTGAATTATTGGCACTCTCTAATGAAGCTAGACGGAAGCATCCGGAAATAAAAGAAGTACATAAGACAACCCCTGCCCTGAAAATCTCTGCAAAACCAACATTGTTAGAATCATGACTGATTTGTTTTTTACATCATTTCTAACATCAAGGCTGCAGAACGATCAATATTTATTCTGAGAACAATCAAGGAACGACCTGGTTTTGATATATCACAGGGTTGTTAATTTTGATCTGTTAAGATACGGCAATTAAACAAAATGTTTGTTCTTTGAGGGGAGGGAAAAAAAATTCTAACCGATTTCCACTGTAATGGATCAATAACAGAATTAGCAAAGAACTCTGACTTCCTGCGTCCATTCGTGCTAGCATGCGAAACGAAACACATAAAGTTGGTCACTATATCTATAGGCAGCTTACAAAAATTAATATCTCGTCATGCCATTCCCGAGGTAACCCTTTAATTGTGAATGATCATATCCATAGAAACTTTCCATTTGCTATTAATTATGTTAATTCTTATATGTATTTTCCAAACGCAACAGACGTCGATAAAAATGATCTTGAAGACCCTTAACGACATAGTGTCGCAGGGCGTTGATATCCAACTCAAGATTTTACAGACGTTGCCATCACTTCTCAGCAATTACGACTCTTTACACGGAGATCTATTGGCTGAAGTTTGTTACTTTTCTCAACTGAACGTCTCGTAATTGTGCCTATTTGATCGAGTTTTACATTAATAATGCTTTCTCTATTTAATATAAAGGCCTTGTTACTTTGCTTTAGACTACAAGACTCAAAGATCGTCGTTGTTAATAACACCGCAGCTGCAACCTTGCGTCAATTGGTGATTAATATCTTTGAGAAAGTAGAATTGGAAGACGAAAGAAATCAGAAAGATGGTATGCAAAGCCCTAACTCGATATTTTCAATTGTTACACCGCGTCCAGCCCAATATTAGATACATGTACATCATTTAATCCAAAAGCAGGTGATTCATCAAAACCTTCATCTCGACAGTCAACACCAGAGCCACAGACATTGTCGACCAAAACAGATCACGATTCTGAACGCACACCTGCGGCCCTCCAACCATGTGCAAAGGATGCTTACTATCTGTTTCAAGATCTTTGTCTACTCACCAATAACGAACCCGCGACGTATTTACGGTTGCATAGTCTCTCAAAGACGTTTGGATTAGAACTGATCGAGTCGGTCTTGACAAACCATTTCAAGATTTTCAAGACGGTTAGGCGATTGAATTATTAGACCATGTTTTTGCGATCACGTTTGCTTGCTAATCCAATTCCTTTGTACGATATAGCACCCCGAATTTACTGGACTTTTGAGAGAACGAATTTGCCCACTCATAATAAAGACTTTTTCAGATAAACACGACTTTCCGCAAACGATGCGACTAATGCGTGTTGTGTACATACTAATAAAACAATTTAACGAGTTGCTGGTATGGTATTTATAACTTTGATGGTTGTCCTCCCCCCCTTTTTTTTTGACACGCGCTAATACCAGTTGCATTTCCGTAATAGGTGACAGAATGTGAGATATTTTTATCCATGTTTATCAAAGTTCTTGAACCGGAAAACCCGTTATGGCAACGAGTACTGTTGATGGAGATTTTTCGCGGAGTCTGTGCAGACAGTGCCTTGCTCCGCTCCATCTACAGTTGGTACGATCAAGCAGAGCATTCGACAAATGTCTTCCAGGACATGATTAATGCGTTTGGGAAATTGGCCGCAGAGAGGCCGCAGGCTGTTGGAGTGGGTGTAAATCCAATGATTGGGCATGCTCATCAGGGTAGGGATAGCTTGGACATTGGTGGAATCGGAGGAATGGGGACGGATGTTGGAGGATTAAGTGTTGCTACTTCAACAATGAAGGTTCAATGGTATGTTGTCCTATTGGGTACATGTGTTTGTGTGGAATTTCACGGTATGTTGATAGTAAAAACTAATCACACCGATTTTTTGAAACCAAAGTATTGATCAACTGGATAAAGTCGACCAACCTCCAATTCCCGAAACCTATCTCTACTTTCTAGCCCTCGTGTGTCTCAATTCTATTGCAGATGGTCTTCATATGTTTGTTATGTCAATATTCTCAAACGTCGTTACAAAGCAACAGCAGGAAAAAACAATAGAGCAACCGGCATTATCTGAATCTACGGATCCTGCTTCTTCCCAGCTCCCTCAGCAAATAGTTGTAGGAACATCGATTTTGAGCTTGCTTGAGGATCATCCACTTTACAACGACATATTGCTGGTAAAAGACATGGCCAATACCGCATGGCCAGGCTTGCTCGCTGCACAGTCTTTTTTCTTGACGGCGAATTTAGATGAAGAACTATTTCAAAGTGTCTTGCGAGCATATCAAAACTTTGCGATAGTGTGCGGCGTGCTGCATTTGACTACACCGCGCGATGCATTTTTGACAAGTCTGTGTAAAGGAGCCGTCCCACCGAGCGTTGTCGCGTCAGCAATTGCAGAAAACAGAACAGCGCCAACGGGTGTTGTCGGTTCGGTCAGTGGAGATGGGGCGTTCATGAGTCTTTTGTCAGACCGAAATTTGTCCTGTTTGAAAATTTTATTAAATATCGCCCAATTTCTCGGCGGAGTGCTAGGCGATTCATGGTATTTGGTGTTGGAGACACTTCATTTAGCAGATTATATCCTATTCAGAAAATATGCTCGAGGCGCGCTACGTAATTCACGAAAATTGGGTACTCATCACGGAGCGTCTTCATCAGCAACATCGTTAGTCAATCCATCAATGACTCAGACGGGGAGCACGTCGTCACCCAAACCGAAACGCGCGACATCTTCTGCTACCATGCCTTCATCGTCTCCTGGGTCTGCTAATGCTGCTGCGACTGGCGTTACCGGGAGTGGCTCAGATTCTCAGCAGTCCGCCATTGAAAATGATTTAAACATTTTATTAATACAAGTTAAGAAATTATTCGAGAATTCAAAGTTTTTGGATGATAGTGCTTTACAAGCCTTTGTACGCGCATTGTGTCGTTTGAGCGCTCTCACCAGCGGAATACCAGTAGACTCTACTCTTATTGTGAAAGGCGATCACGAAAAGAATGAAAATAAGGGATATCAATCAGCGCAACTAATTGTTTTACGAGGAAATGTGAGTGATGTTGATAAATTATTTCAGTTTGTTTATAAAATTGATTATGTCAAGCGTTAAGTAATATTAATACCCTGGAATCATTCTAATATAGAAATCGGACGAAACTTCGTTTGCCATTGAAAAATTACGCTTCGTCTCACTGCTTAATATGCCTCGTTTGATCGGACGCGAACCTCTTCTAGTTTGGGACTTGGTAATATCTCATTTGATAACAACGGCCAACCACTCTTCGACACCACAACAAATCCGCACCCAAGCTTGTGAATCAATGGACGATATCATAACGTCGGCAAACGTCGTAATGTATGCCGTTAGAGTGTCCTGGGTAAAGTGTGTGAGCACATTCGAGCTCGGTTCGCTGGACAACGAAGCGTCGTTGTCAATTTCAGCACCGTCCGGATGATGCGTGCTTCCAGACATTGTTATCATTCCTAGACCGATTCTTTCCCAAATGACCCATGCGGTCTGCCAATACGGCACGATTTTCTTGATCAGCTCTTCGTCGTGATCGGCTTCATTTGGACTTTGGATAATGGTATTCAAGGCCTTGATAGACGCGATAGCCACTTCGTGACTAGAATGCAGACAGGAATCTTGGAGATGCGATAAAAGCAGATCCCACGCCTGCTCGAAATCTTCCAGTTTGACTAGTATATAAAGAAAATTTCTGAATATTCCAGATACGCCTGTGAGCACCAAAACCTTGGTTTCATCCCATTGTTTGTCGACGGTATTACGCGAGTGATGAATCATTAATCCACTCATATCCCTCGAAGATCTATCGCCACTCTTTCCATGATATTGTTGCATGGCCTTGACGGCCCGTAACGATGCAAGCTTAACAGCATCCAACAATGGGAACAAGACTTGCCACACGCACGTGTGCCAACTGTATATGCCGAGCACCGCTCCGTTCATGTCAACCGTCCGAAATAATGTCTGATTGGCGCCATTCCTAACCTCTGGTCGGGAGTCTGAGCAAATACTCGCTAGTTGCAGCAGCAATAACATCCATAATGCATTCATTGTTCGTGGGTTGAGGTCTTTTTCAATAATTTCTTCAATACCGCGGATCGAAGAAGCGTTCTTTGGTATGTCATCATCTGCTCGTGGACCACCTGCGGTCTTTTCTAAATCTGCTCGCTTCGTCTGAATAAAGTCGGATACGTTCCACAGCAGAGTAACGGCCGTGAGGCTTATATTCAAGTCACCCATCTGTTGCCCAAATAGACCGAGAGTATTGATGCATTGCTTTAAGCATTCGGGGGACAACAAGGCGAGAAAGTCTGTACATATT